ACCGTGGGAGTTCCGAACTTTTAGCTCATAATTTTTTCGGTATCCAGAGACAGTCTTTGGATATTCCGATTTATATAATAACTCTCCGTTCCAAAAGAGGTTTGAACCCAAAACTAACCCACTTATATCATCACTACCACCACCTCTTTGGTATGTAACAATATTTGTTAGTAATCATTTATCAGTTCTAATGATCATGAGCAATTAATAAAAAAGAAAAGTTAATCAACTGAAAGTTCAGTATTATTTTGACAATATTTTATGAATGTTTTGACAATATCTATCATATTCAATACATGCAAGCCAGAAAAAAATATACTTCAATACATGCAATAAACAATTTTTTTTTTTGAACCTTATTAAACAAATATATCAAGGATGAGAAGCGTAATATAATGAGCGTTGTGAACATTTCCATCGTAAGAGGTTGCTATTACTGATGCAAATATTGTCACCAAATATTTGTAGTCATCTCGTCCATGGATGACTACAAAGTTGTTATACATAACTTTCGAAATGCAAATTATTACTGTATTACATAAGTATAATATGCATCATATATTGAGACGACATGACAATATAAGTGAAATTAACAAGTTTTTTTTTTTGAACAAAATATTAACAAGTTGTTAATTCTGTTATTTACTTTTTTGTAATCGATTTCACTCTCCAAATTTTGTGTGGCTAATATTTTTTTTATTGGAACTCCAAATTGTATACCGTAAGAAAGAAAAAACTCAATGCTTTCAACAATAGTATGATTTATGCGGCAATTACAAAAATGTCATTTCTTGTGTGCACATTTGCAAAAATACTACTTAGAGGTATTTATTTGCAAAAATGCCACTAATTATATATTTATAAAGCCTATATCTTAAAATTCTAAACCCTAAAAAATGTTTTGACCCCTAAAACTCCCTAAACCCTCATAACTAAACCCTAATATAACATAATTAACCCAAACATAAATGATATAAAGAAAAAATAATTTTGAAAAAATGGCATTTTTGTAAAGATTTAAAAAATGTGGCATTTCTGTAAAATGGCACTTGAAAAGTGGCATTTTTTTAAATTTCTCATGATTTATTCACAATCGGATACCAAAAATTTTGTAGAAAGACTTTACCTTTACTATAAAAGTAATTTCGACTATAAAAACATCTTTATCCATGGTCTCTTAGTGAATAATAGTAAAGGATTATATCAATCTTTCATAGTTAAGAGAAAATTTTCAATATTTCAATATAATTTATATTTTAATATATATCTTGAAATATCCACACAAAAAAACTATAGATGGAGATGCTGTAAAATCCCTTAAAAACCGTTTTTTTATATGAGACTTCCTTGAAAGCGCAATTCATGAAAAACATCCCAAAATAATCAACATAACCAATTTATCTTCCACAGCTTCATTATATTAGTCTAATATGCATCTTTATTTTCTTCTCGATAATTCCATACCATTGATATTATATACCGATGTTTCAATATGATTTCATTTATTCTTTATAAAAAACAATGATTTCATTTTTCATATACTAGTAATATAATACTATTTTATACTAATAAAATAAGCAAATGCAATCGATAACACGGTGAAGAGTATCGTACATAATCTTAGTGAATCAACTCGTTTGGTACGATCTAATATTTTTTGGATTTAGTATAGTTGATCTCCATCATTTTCTTGAGTGAATGAATGATAATTTTTTTTGGTTTTTTTTTTGCCACGAAGATATAATTCCAGACTATCGATGTTTGAAAATAATTAATATAATTATACACCTGAAAGAAAAAAAAAATATATATATGCATAAAATTTGAGGAAGCTCATGATTTCTTGCCGGGAAAGTAGCATGAACTAACACAACCAAATCTTTAGTGAATCAAGTAACAGCCACGTGGACACTTGTCGTTTCCCGCGCTCCGCATCTCTTTCCCCTTCTTAAGCAAATTTTTGCTCCGACAAAAAATTAAAATAAGTAAGTACTATTAACTCAATTTTTTTGTTGAGAATTTCAATGTCTGAAACAAAATTTAATTAGAGTTAAATTTGAGGTTTGGACATTAAATGAGCTCAAGTTTGGACAAACCCACCCCACGTATTTATTACCTTAAAATGATCCGTACATTTCGGATCCATAACTGTATTTCCCTCTATCGCAAAACATATAGCAAAAGGAAAATTATCAAAAAAATAAAAAGCATAAAAGCATTATACGAAAAGAGATATACATCTTTCTACCCAGAAAAAAAAAAGAAATAAACATCTTAATCTTATTTTATACTATTAGAAAAACATCTTGATTTTTATTGGATTAGTTAGACAGCAATAATTAAACCGGAAAAGAACATATATTAATAAGGCTTTTCCGGGGGGTGGGGGGGATAAATAAGGCTCTTATTTGGGCCAAAGCCCAAACTCAAAACGCGGCTTCATTTTTGGCCATTACAAAAACATCACGTTCGCTCATCTACGCGCCACAAGGATCTCTCTCTCCTCTTCGTTTAGATTCTTCAAATTTTCTCTTCTTGTTTTGCTCATAACGTTCTCTTTCGCCACCGTATGAGTCAAGCGCGTTGACTCTACGTTCCTCTGGCTTCAAGTCTCAGAGAAGAGAAGCCACTGTTGCTTTGATCTTTAATCAACTCCAGTCTGATCAAAATGCAAATCCTTTTAACCTCAAATTTCATTACTCTGTATTTGCAAATCCATCTCTTGTAGAAATTCATGAATCTTTTCGACCCGAGGATGCGAAACATCACCATATATGAATCTATATACTCTGTTTTCAACTTCTATGGAGCTTTCACCAGCCATTTTCTTCACTCCGGTTCCTTTCATCATCTTCCTCACCATCCTCGACTCGTCCCACCTCCCTAAATCCGAGTACAAATTCGCTAAAAGCATGTAGTTACCGCTATTATTCGGTTCTATCTTAATCAGCTGATTTAAAGCTCTTTCTCCAAGCTCAAGATCATGATGAACATTCGAAGCAGCAAGAAGAGATCCCCATATTGCAGCATTAGCCTCAAAGGGCATGCTTCGAATAATTTTTTCCGCTTCTCGGAGTTTACCTGCTCGTCCTAACAAATCAATCAAGCAGCCGTAATGCTCAATGTTCGGATGAATTCCGTATTTCGATCTCATTGAGCTAAACAAACATTTCCCAAGATCAACCAAACCGACATGGCTGCAAGCTGAAAGGATTGCAATGAAAGTAACATTGTTTGGTTTCCCGCCAGCTTTAACCATACGGTTAAACATCTCCAAGGCTTGAACTCCGAGCCCGTGAGTAGCCAGTCCAGTAATTATAGTAGTCCAAGTAACCACATTTCTCTCATTAAAACTCTCAAACTCCTCCAATGCCTTTGTTATATTCCCTGATTTTGCATACATATCGATGACCGCGTTGTTCAATGAAACCGCTCTCTTCATCCCTCTCTGATCAACATAGTTACATATTCTTTCACCCAATTCAAGTGAACCAAGATCAGCACAAGCTGAGAGTGCTGCCAAAAGCGTAACTTCATCGGGCTCAACATTCTCCATCAGCATTCTCTGAAACACTTCAAGGGCTTCGCTCGCTCGTCCACTCTTAGCGTATCCCGAGATCACACAAGTCCAAGAAACCGCATTCCTTACCCAACAAGGCATCATCTCCAGCAAACCCATTGCTTCATCCATCTCACCAACTTTTCCATACCCTGCTAATAAGGCATTCCAAACAGTCACGTCTCTAACACGCATTTCATCGAACACCTTACGTGCATCTCCCAAACCGCCACACGAAGAATACATCTGAATCAAACCTGTAACAACATGGACACTAGAATCAAATCCGAAAACCACCGTTTGGCCATGAACCTGTCTCCCAAACAAAACATCACATAACCGAACAACAATCTTCAACACAAAAGGGAAAGTAAACGTGTCAGGCTTCGAACATAAAGCCCAGAACTTTCTGTAAACTAAAACCGCAGTTGAGTTTGCATTGGGTTCGTCGACGAGAGACAAAGCTCTGATCATGGTGTTACAGAGATAAGTATTGGGTAATGGCTGGTGGGTAAATACAGAGTAAGCATATTTGAGATCTCCAGCATTGGAACATGCCTCGACGAATTTGGCAACGATGAGATTGTCTCTGTTTAAACCAGTTATGATCATGGAACAATGAGCTTGCTTCAATGTTTTGAGATTTGTTCCATGGAGTTTCAGAGAGGAAACGAACCAATTTATGACCGAGACAGTGGATACTCGGCGAATATGCAGAGCAATCGGTGGCTGTAGCAGCCATGAGCTTAAGCTCAAGGCAATGATCCGTTGCCACATCCTCGTATTTGGACAATAATGAGAAAAAAAAGTCGAATTTGCAAGAGAACTAAGACTATAATAATTTCATGAACTAACCTTTTTTCTCAAATGAGTGATTAAAAAGGTTTTTTTTTAATCAAACCAATTTTATAAATTAAAAAGGTTTATAATTGTTAATTTTGACTTCAAAATTCATTTATCAATTAAAAGTAAGGGAATTGCGATCAATATCACACACAAAAAAATTATTGAAAATCTAACCATTGTCCTAAGAGAATTTTCAAAAAATGTCATTTTTCAAGTGTCATTTCACAAAAATGACACATTTTTGAAATATTTACAAAAATGTCTTTTTTTCAAAATTATTTTTCTTTATATTATTTATGTTTGGGTTAACTATGTTGTATTAGGATTTAGTTATGAGAGTTTAGGGGTTAAAACATTTT